TCACCGGACTTTGGCTCCCCTCGTCGGAAACACGTCGACCCATGTAGAAAATGCTGGCCACTTCGTGGAACGCGCCTCGCAAATACATCTCAACGATGGTGACACCATGGTGTCTTTCGACGTGGTGTCCCTCTTCAAAAGTGTCCCAGTTCCCCTTGCAGTTGCTGCAGCCCGCGAAGCCCTCGAAAAAGACAGCTCCTTGACCACAAGAACCAACCTCACTGTGGAGGAGCTGTGCCGTCTGCTCGAGGTTTGTCTCGGCAGCACATACTTCACCTTCAAAGGGGAGCTTTTCAAACAGGTCAGTGGCACTGCAATGGGTGCGGCCATCTCGGTCACAACGGCGAACCTCACGATGGAGGCAATCGAGCAAAAAGCGCTGAGGTCTTTTCCCAACAACCCCAAAGTATTCATGCGCTATGTAGATGATTGCTTCTGCATTCTCAAGGAACGGGACGTTAATAATTTTTTGGCACACCTCAACTCTATCGAGCCGGCCATTAAATTTACCGTAGAATATGAGAAGGATGGCACCTTGCCGTTCCTTGATGTGCTGGTGAACCGACGAGGACAAGATCTGACGTTTGCGGTGTACCGAAAACCAACACACACCGGACGCTACCTCGATTTTGTCTCCAACCATCCAACGAGTCATAAGGTCTCAGTGGTTTCGACCCTGCTGCGTAGGGCAACGACTATCTGCTCGTCGGAAACCGATAGAAAGAAGGAGAAGACCATAATTGAAGACCTAAAGAAAAATTGTTACTCTAGTAGCTTTATTGGGCGCATCGCCCGACGGCAAGGTCTCGCCAGACAAAACCAGATGCCAGTAGAAGAACGACAGCCCCATCGAGTCGCGCGCATAAGCGTTCCCTTCGTAAAAGGAACCAGCGAAGCGCTCGCACGAGTACTGGGAAAGCAAGGTATTCTGGTGGCCCACAAGCCCACGTCCACACTGGGAAGGTTTATGCCAAGACTGAAAGACCGTCCACCAAAGGAAAAAGCACAGGGCGTGGTTTACACCATTCCTTGCGCAGAGTGCCCAGCAACCTACATCGGCGAGACGAAGAACTTTCCCGAGCGTATCCGCCAACACAAGAACGACGTGCGGAAGTTTGACAGTGAGCGCAGCGCCATCGCCGAACATTGCGATACCCTAGACCATCGCATTGACTTCGCGAACGCGCACGTGGTGGACACAGAGCCCAATTTTCGAAGAAGGCTTTTCTTGGAATCGTGGCACATCCAGCACACGCCAGGAAACCTAAACAGGTCGCTGGGCGCTCTGCCCTCTGTGTACGCACATGGCCTCCGTGACCTGACGGAAAAGCTGAAGAGATGACCATCTTCATAACTAACAAGTTATTTTACAATTTTTCCAATTTCCTAACTTCTCTTTTTGATTTTTCCTTTTTCTTTCTTTCCTTTTTTGAAGACGAAGAGGTTGGGAGCTGCTGCTGTGTCCGCGTGCCTTCAGTCACCCCTGAAGAAGAAACCGTGTTGGTTTTGAAACGTCGGGTTGCCTTTCATTTTTTGGTTGGAGATATATTTTCAGACTTTAGCTCTCACCCAACCAGGCAGATATCTGTCGAATATGTTTACTTTCAAGTATGGTGTGTGTGTGTGTGTAGGGGGGGGGGGGGTGAAAATATAAAAAAAAATAAATAAGCGCAAACATGGTTCACGATATAATTAAAGCAGCTGTGCAACAATTTCAGGGCTTTGCTTAAAATATTGTGGAAGTTGATGCCAAGCACTTCTGTAGTAAACTACAAAAAAAAAAAAAAACATATTTTGCCTGGATACCCTAGCTTTTATTTAAAAAAAAAAAGAAAAATATCCAGGTTTTTGTCGCCTCTCAGCTCGTACGTCGTCTTTCGGGTCACGAGCGCAGCGACGTTGAAGGGGTAGGCGCGGGGTTCCGGAACAGTTCTCTCTTTAGAACCATCAGTGAGCAGCGAGAACTCATCCGCTCTCGACCGGGTGACCACGTGCTGGCGGGCGCCGCGCGAACAATATGGTGAAAGGAGGAAATTCTCATCCGGGTCCGGCCATAGCCGTCCGGCCCTGTCCCCCTCCCACTTTGGCTTCTGGCGGCTGTTTGCGGTAGCAGAGAGAGCTGACGGTTTTGTGAACCTAGGATAGATGGCGCCACTAAAACTCCGTATAATAAAAGTTTTGTCGATGATACCAGATTTTTGACGCATTTATCAATATGTTGGAACGACAAGATTTATAGAAAAGGTACCTTTTATCGAGCAGGTATTCGCACAACTTGCTATCTTTCTACAAGATTTCCCATTGACGTCACGCCGCGTGTTTCTGATAACCGCCGCTTGCGGCTGCAGGTCGGGGAATATTCTAAGTTTTGCCTCGCTATTACGCGGCGGAATCGCAACATTTCGATCAAACGAGGTGTGTTTTTTGTCATTTGTGACAATTTAAACACTATTAAAAGCAGAAGATGCCAATTCTTTCAACGTTTAAATCGTTGCACAGCTCCTTTAATCTCCGCAATATATTGTAAACAACAGTCAGAATAGGCAATATACACAACTTTTTCCGGTGGCATATCACAATCAACGATAGTTTGAACCCGAATAAAAACAAAGAAACAAGAGAGGCAGTTTGTATAATACCGACATTGCCCCACGTCTTTAGAGTCATTAAAACTTAACGAAAGCTCATGTGGTGGCATGATGAATATGCCTTTTTGTAAACCTGTATGTACGTGACATACACGGTGCAAAATGTTTCGTCTTAAGCACACAGTCCTACGACATGTTTGAACCGTGTGTTTGCACTTTGCGAAGAATGTCTAAATTTCGGTATGGCGCATTTGTTGTCTTATTTTCCCACGGCAGAAAATATTTGATCTGCGGTCATTGAATGCATAAATATCACGCGTTTAGACGCAACTTTGATCTCGCGACGACGTGCATAGTTTTCAACATTTTAACGTCTCCGAATTTGTTTTGTGCGTATGACTATTTCGAAGCACAAACAGATATTTTAACAAAAGCATTGCACTGTCGTTTCCAAACAATTTAACCCGCGGGAGCACTTTTAGTAACGTGCGTAGATGACAAAGCCAAATATGTGAAGAACATGTGGGCGTTCAGGTGGCGTGCCAATACTAAATTCCGTGGTTACAAAACGAAAGACGCCTGAAATTAATGTGTAGGCGCGAGAAAATAATTTAATGAGACAGTTAAAGCCCATCTAGCTTCAGCGTTCGGCTCGAGACTCGAGCTCAACCGATGCATCTTCGTTTTTACCACCTCCATGGCGCCAAGTCTGTGTTCAGCCTCAGGAGCCCAGAGATTGAAGAGATATTGCCACGCGCGTGGGCGAGCAAGCGCGCGCGTCGCACAGTGGTTACCGCGCTTGACTTTCACGTGGAAGGTATAGGTTCGATTCTAGTCAGGCGGACTGTCCTTTTATTTATTCTTTCAACTTGGGCTTACCGTAAGTTCGAGAACATTCTCGCCTGGTCGGGTTCCGATTGCTATACGCACCGAAAGTTCTACGCCGAATAATCCAGAAACCAACGAGGGTACATAAGGGGCTCCGCAAGGACAGCGGAGTCAGTTTCGCCCCAGCGTTCGACTGTGCTGCTACGCCGACTTCGGCACCCGCGACGCTCTGTTATTATCTTTGTACTCTTTTATTTTCGGCACAAGTTCGCCACATTAAACATTTATTTCGTCCTGTTCGTTTCCTGTTTTTTTGGTCACCACCCGTGACAATATCGTCAAGACCACAGCTTTTTATTTCGTTGTCTAAATGCAAAGCCCTGTCCAGAACACCTCGATCAGACACAGCTGAATTCCCAAGTAAGCGGTGTTCACACGGAAGAGAAATTCGCTGAGGAATTTGCGGGACGTCCTCAGCGGGAGCAACTCGTTCCTTCCGCTCGATCGTTCACCCGGACAACGGCGTCGATGGCCGGGACGCGAGCGCCATACAGTCATGGACATTTCAAGAAATGGGGGGCGTGGCGAATATCCATCTTCTCAATATCGCTCTACAACCAATGAGATTCCCTTCTAAGCCGATTAGAAGGCCGAAGAACCAATCACGAAGCGAGAAGCCTGAACATAATAGTCCACTCCCTTCGTTTCAGCGACTCCATGGCGAGAAAGTACTACAAAAGTTTGTCTTTGGCGCAGCGGAGTGCAAGTGGAGCACGCCAATTGAAGGGCAACATAAAAAAAAGGAGCAGGGAACGCGCGATGCAAGGCAGCCACGTGCGTGCCGTTATAGGTTGAGGGCGTGAAGGTAGGGGGGGGGGGGGGGGGCTACAAAAGCGCGTGGGCGCGTTTAGAGGCTAAACAAACACACACGAGGTGCCCACGAAGCAGTCGACGTTTCGCGCCGTAGAGCAGTTGGATGTAGGTGTTGCCACTCCAGACACCACAGCATGTATACGAGTTTGGCGGTTCCCGCAGTAAGAAAACTGGTGCGCCGTCGAAAAGCGGATTGTTTGTCCTTGCCGAGTATCCCCCCCACCCCCTCCTCCGTACTTCAGCCGCGGAGGTGACATTGAATCACACCGCATCTAAGATGCCTGATATTTTGCTGGCAACGATTTCTCACTCGTCTGAATAGCACTCTGAGGACATATTTGATAGCGGATTTAGCAAACCTCCGTCTTTCCTCTCAGACTTATCACGCGCATACTGCGTTGGGCTAGCTCAAGAGTCCTCTTGGGGATCGGGTCCGCGGTTCGGGGGTCGCCGATGCTTGCCCTATGACAACTAATTGTCACCTAACAACTCCCTGCCATAAGTGACCGCATGAGATATATTAAAAACGGTTACGATGAAACCGCTAGTCATTATCAAAGAAGTCCATATAAACTATAACCCACGAATATTTTATGTGCTAACTTATCTAGAGCTACATCGTGAGTTTCGCGCACAGACGATCTACGACAGCACAATTTAGCTAAACGGCGGGACTCTTCTTTTGTTCATATTTATTTTATTTTTTTGCAGCTCGAGATTTCGATGTTGCCAAGGCTGAGAACTTGCTGCGAGAGGTGCGTATTTGTGGTTTGTATCCGCACTATTCTAACTCTCTCGTCACCTACAAGAAAACGCTTCATAATTGCTCACCAAAAATACTTGCCGGAGACACGTGCTTTTGGCCAAGAAGCAGTAACCTGTGAAAAGAGCAGGTTCGATTTTTTTTTAATACTACTTTTGCTGTATATGAACAGATACGAACAAACAATCTCTAGCTCAAACACTAATGGTGGTATTCGGTATCATTGTGCCGTAAACAAATCAGAATGACTAAATTGAAGAGACGGCTAGTCGGTGCCGGGTGTACGTCTTTATGAATCACGGAAAGTCGAAAAGAATGGACGGGACACGCGCTTATGCACAACAAATAAAATAAGTTTTACGTGACCAAAGCTAGCGAATTGCGCTGACAACCTCACAACGCGATGTCAATGAGCTGGTTCGGCTGGTGCAACATGACGATGATATCGTGTCGTGATTGCGTGGATATTCCGGTGATGTTGCGTCGCGCGGTAATGTAACATTTCGTTATTATTTTTTTATACGTCACACGGTGATTGTTACGCCTGTGCTACGCGCCGGAACTAACACTGCATAGGCACGTAACACGCACCTTGCAATCAGTCAGTTAATTGTACGGGTACCACGACTGAAGAACCTCGTGCCAGGCCCCCGGCAAAGGCACCAGTTGTCGCGCGGAAGCTGCATTTCAAGACGCACGTTTTGATATATTTGGCGACGTTTTGCATAACGGTGCTTCTTTATAAAAAAATAGTGAACTTTTCTCTAAAACGTGTTTTAATTTTCGTGTTTCGGATTTTCTTTCTTTTTTTTGCTTAGTAATATATAATAGTAATTTTTATATTTGGTGTGCATGTTATAAATTGTCTATCAAATAAATGAGAAAAGAAATAACTCCTTGCCTGCTTTGGTGTGACGTTGGCGGCTGTGCAAATTACCATAGTGAAATCTCGGCAACGTCGACGCCTTCTGCTTTTCAATTTTATATCTCTAGAAAAACGTCTGCTACGGTGTTCACATATAGCTTGTTGTTCCTCCCAAGAACGTGGCTTTCACAAATATTTGTTACACAAATATAAAAAAAAATATGACCCGGACAGTTATTGTACGATCTGTCGTGTAAACACACAGCTGTGAATTTCAAATATAGTTATACTAGGTTGAAAAAACCTCCCTGCCTCTATCCGAGACTGGGACTTGGATGAGCATCGTACCGGCGTGCGGTCGTGTATCACTACTTCGTGAGCACGTTAAAAGACTCCAGGTTAGCAGTCGTACTGCACTAGCCAAATTGCTCATCTACAGTGTAAACCAGCGTCGCCTCATCCTGGCAGACCGACCTTACGCTGTATGAATCACTAAAACATTCAATTTGACTTGAACCGAACAAAATTAACCTTGAGAGAAGCAATGTTTGACGGAGAAAGTAATATGTCTTTACTTTTTCTGGTAGAAAGACGTCAAACAGGTTACCAGTCCGTCTGATTTGTTTTAAAAGGATTAGACTCGTCATCTCGATTGATGGCGGGCAGCTTTGGAGGAATGTCGATACAGCTTTCTGCAAAGTTCCATTTTGATTTCAAACTACCCCGAGTCGCAACAAGGGCCTGCGGTCTTTTTGAAACAAGTTGACAGACAACGATTCCCTCGTAATCTCTCAGGCCTTTTCTGCGACTTCTTGCATCTCACAATCCTTGAGTACTTTGCAACAAATTCCTTTTTATCTGCTAGAGATGAACCTTGAAGGGCTGAAACAACCCTCTAAACGCTGCTCATGACTTCCTTGAAACTCAGACTCAGGCCTAATCGCAAACTTTCCCGCTTTGTCAGTGTGGAGAAACGAAAGATTACCAACTTCTAACTCCTTCTTACGCCCCCTTACTGCCGTAAAATTTCTTTCACAAGAGCCATACCCAGCAACCACTAACCTCGAAACTGCCAAGATCGACTGTTCAACGAACCCTTGTCTCCCGTCAATTGGGACTTTCGCAGCTATGCTATGGATGTTCGACAAAATGTCTAATTTTTACGGCTCAACGTTCAAACAGAACTTTGGTCCTTTTAGAGCGCAGCTCTTAGGCGCCCGTTTCCGGCTTGAGCGGCGTCGGCGTAACCGCGCGGTGCATTATGGGTAAATTTCCCCGCTAAATCTAGCGTAAAAAATTCTCCGTTAGACCTAGCGGAAAAATTTCCCCGATAAATCTAGCGGAAAAATTTCCCCGCAAAATCTAGCGGAAAAAATTTCCCCGCTAAACCTAGCGGAAAAATTTCCCCGCTAAATCTAGCGGAAAAAATTTCCCCGCTAAATCTAGTGGAAAAATTTCCCCGCTAAATCTAGCGTAAAAATTTCCCTGCTAACTCTAGCGGATAAAATGTCCTCGTTAAATCTAGGGGAGAAATTTTCCCGCTAAATCTAGCGGAAAAATTCCCCCGCGAAATCTAGCGGAAAAATTTGCCCGCTAAATCTGGCGGAAAAATTTCCTCGCTAAATCTGGCGGAAAAATTTCTCCGCTAAATCTAGCGGAAAAGATTCCCCGCTAAATTTGGCGAAAACATTTCGCCGCTAAATCTAGCGGAAATATTTTCCCGCTAAATCTAGTGGAAAAATTTCCCCACTAAATCTAGCGGAAAAATTTCCCCACTAAATCTAGCGAAAAAAGTTCCCCACTAAATTTAGCGGAAAAAGTTCCCCGCTAAATCTAGCGGAAAAATTTCTCTGGGGGGTCACGTGACCCCCTTAGGTCACGTGACCCCCTTAGGTCACGTGACCCCCCCCCGAGGTCACGTGCCCCCACGTGATTTTGAGGAGGGGGTCACGTGACCTTGGGGGTCACGTGACCTCAGGGGCGGTCACGTGACCTTTGTGGCCTTGGCTCCTCCTCCTGAAGAGCTGCGCTCTAATTCGGCGTTGCAGGGAGTTGTAAACGGGGCTGGATCGCTGGCAAAGGTGTGTACAGATACATAAGAGGAATGGTAGACGGAGGAAGCCAGCGAACTTTCATCCGAGAAGATGTGTCCAAAAAAAACCAACTGCGTATTCTCGGCGACATAAATATTATTTTTTTTATTTATGTCGCCGTCGTTAGAAAAATTGTTATTGTTAGAAAAATAAATAATAATTTTTCTAACAAAGACGCCGATCGCCTTGAAATGAAGAGATTCGTTGGCTTCACCCCTTCGCACCACTCTTGACACGCTTTCTCCCACCCATTCTTGCTTCCCTGGAAACCTCCATGTCAGATCTGACCCCCATTTCCATTAATCTGTATGACCAAACCTCTATATTTTTAGAACGCAGCTCTTAAGCACGCGTTCCCGGCTTGAGCGGCGTCGCCGTCGGCGTAACTGCGCGGTGCATTATGGGACGTTTACCATGATTACGTCACACGGGACGTCACCTGTGACGTCACAACTCACCAGTAAAGTCATAGATGACGTCACACCTGAGGTCATGTGGGACGTCACGAGGGTCACCAGTGGCGTCATAGATGACATCGCACGTGACGTCACGTGGGCCGTCACTAGAGTCACCAGTGACGTCACTCGTGACGTCACCGCGCGCTGCATGATGGGTAAATTTTCCCACTAAATTTCCCGGAAAATACTTCCCGGTAAATTTAGCGGAAAACTTCCACCGCTAAACTTAGCGGAAAATTTTCCCCGCTAAATTTATCGGAAAAAATGCCCCAATAAATCTAGCAGGAAAATTCCCCGCTAAATTTAGCGGAAAAACTTCCCCGCTAAATTTAGGAGAAACCTTTCCCGCTAAATTTAGCGGAAAAGTTTCTCCGCTAAATGTAGTGGAAAAAATTCCCCGCTAAGTTTAGCGGAAAAATTTTCCCGGGAAATATATTAAAAAAAATTTTCCCGCTGGAAAAAATTCCCCGCCATATTTAGCGGGAAATTTCCCCCTAAATGGGAGGCGAGCAGGAGAGGAGGAGGGGAGAGTACGGATGAGGAGGAGGGGCCATACCTTCCTCTTTGTACCCTCCCCTCCTTCTCCTCAAGAGCTGCGCTCTAATTCGATGTTGCAGGGGATTGTAAACGTCTTTCTTTTTTTTGTGTCAAACTTCTTTTCCAAATGAAAAACAAAAATCAATCTGTATTATACAGGCATCTGAACATTTCTTCGCTTTCCGCAAGCCTTACGTGAGCAGTCAAAAGCTTTCGCTGCGCACATTCCTTCACAAGAGGCACGCGGAAGGACGCTGAAACCTTTGAGTATGACGTCAAACCCAGCGGATTTTTTTCGGTTTTTCTCGCGTCTCTTGATACGTTCGTGTCAAATGCTCGCGATATTCAAATTCACAAGACAAAAATACTCTGGAATTTACCTCTAACTCGTTTTCTTTTCAAGAACCTTTTCAGCTTCCCTTTAATGTGAAACGGAGCATAAAAGCATCGGCCACACAGACACGTGAATGTGATAAAGTATGGCGCCATGAGTTGGCGAACGAACCTCTGGCAGCTTGGTCGGTCTGCCAAGAGCGAGCACCTAAGCGTTACAATCGTCGGCGATAGGTTAAGAATGTTGTATACGCTTCGCCTATAGCACGAGCTTTGTGGCTTTGACAGGTGGCAGGCAACGAGCGTTTACAGGGGACTGATCACCTACTGAAATATTGACATGTCGCTCACTATAGGCTGGAATCCGTCACCGTCATACGTGAACGCTCGATTCGCTGAATAGGCAAGAGGGAAAGCGATCGGGTGTTTCTTCTTTTCTGTATACGTTAATGTACTAAAACAAAAACTAATTAGTGTCCTGGGATTTCGTAGACATTTTTAGTTGATGGATTTCACTTTTAAGGAACAGTTGGGAAAACTAATATCATGGTTCCTTTCAAAAAGATGGATGGGTTTGCCACTTGTTTCAGGACATTAAGTGGCGGGCAGAGAAAGACATCGGCTCCATCACAAAGACGTACAAGAGCTCGGAGGTAAGCTGTCGTCCCCTGCATTTCTCTGAGGGCACCTGTAGATCCTATGGCAAGACAGGCTGTAACGTACGTTTAGATTAACGTTCTAGTGAAGGCCCGTAAACTCGGTTAGCAGATTCGCTCTGGTAACGCTTGTGTAAAAAATATAAACAAATGCGTCATATCAACAAACTACTACCTGATTCCGGTTAAACGCGATGCAAGGTAAGCGCTTGCAGTGGAGGAAAAAGCGACAAGAAAGAGCTTTAGGGAACTACCGAAACAAAACCCTCGTCTGCAGCCATTGAGAACATGAGTGTTTCGATGGTTTTAGATATTTTTCTTGAACACATGTGCGCCATGCTAACACCTCACACAGATAAACTTATAAGAGCTTTGTATTGCGACCTTATGCGGTAGACTATCAGCGGAAACTAACTTTTGCTCAGGTTATTCGTATTTTAAAACTGCTTTGCTGTGTGTTTTAGTCAAAGAAATGTAACTGTCGAATAAACGTTACACTTTTAGATGTTATAATCCAGAAGAACAGATTAACGCGATCTTTCTTGGGGTTTCCCAAGCCTATCGCATTGCACTTCGTGACACCGTCATGCTGGCATCTGCGCTTTAGTCCGTACACACCAAAGCTGCTGTGCCGTTGGAGTCAGGCGCCTGCTGAACCAATGATTGCCCCCCCCCCCTTTTTTTTATCACCTAACTTTTTTTATCTGGGTATGACTGGGAGGAAGATCACGTGGCGAAACATGGGAGCACAAATGGCCTAACTATCATTTGGCTTCCAGCGCAATGTGATCTCAGGGGTGAACCAAGTACATATTCTATTCGTCCGTTAAGCTGACAGCGCGGTGGAAGCTATGTTTAAAATAGCCGCCAGAGGAACTCTAATGTCATGTGACTGACTCTGTGGGGACAAGGAAATAAAGGCACCTAGAGTCCAAGTCAAATCTGTGCCTCAACGTCGTTCCGGCTTTGATTTCTTCTTCCCCAATTTGGCACGCAGAAAGAGGGCGAACATGCTTGAAATGTAAGTAAAATTAATTGCACTCGTGTCATCTGGTAGCAGCGTGTAAAGTTATTTGCGCGGAAGGTCGGTTTAAGGGAGAATGAAAGAAAACGACAGGCTGAACGGAATCGACATGAATGCCTGTCACGTCACCTCAAAATCCGTCTGGTAGCTTTTTTAACCGCCGGGAGAGATACCAGGATGCACCATGCAAACCGCCCCTGCGGTTTCTCAAGTGTCCAAGGGGGCTGATGTTGCGGGCTTTGTTGGCGCAGGTGGTGCGACGGTACTTTCCGGGCGGTTTGTTGAGGCACGACCGCGGCGGGCGGCCGGTCTGGATCCTTCCCTTCGGAAACGGAGACTTCAGAGGTATCGAGGCGGTATCTCTTGGGCGCAGCTGCCTGAGTCAATCCCAGCTCACGGGGCTTACATTCTCTCCTTCAGGAATGCTACAGTGCGTGCCTCCACAGCAGATTGCCGATGAAGTCGTGTACACGCTTGAAAGAATTCAAGAGGAGAAGCGGAAGCAAGTCGAAAAGGTTTGTTGGCATTAATATGTAAAATTGGGTTGTGTGTATGTTTTTACAGCCTAGAACGTGTTCTTCCTCGACGGGTGACGAGTCTCCCAGCTGTAGATGAGGAATTTAGCCAGTGCAGTACAACCCATAGCCTGGGGTCTTTAACGTGCATCACGCAGTAGTGATGATACACGACCGCAGGCCGGTTGCGTTAATATGTATTTCTCGTCGACTTTGTTTTCCCCTCCGCTAAGCTCTACGCATTTACGACACCGCTACTGTACGTGCTCGCCACTGTTCTTGTCGTCGGACTTCCTCTTGTGGAGCCAAGAGGGCTCTATGCCTTGCTATGTAAACTGCCGCAGTGTGAAAAACAAGATCACCGACATGCGTGCGACATGTTGGTGCTTCTCACTTCGTCGTGGCTCAACCCTGGCGTGAACGACGGTTAGTTTTTCGATCTCTCTTCGCACACTGTATTTCGCAAAGATACACAAAGTAGGGGCGGATGAGGTCCGATTGCTGTGCCCTCGGACCTCAAAGCGGTGGCACGATTCGATCTGGAAGGTACATATCTTGAGGCACTGTTCCTCTAACTATTGCTGCCACGCGGCCGGATCCTCTTCGATTGTGTTTATATTTCACCGCACATAACAGAGTCCTCATAGAATGACCTCGACATCGCATTAACCCGTGCAGCGGACACAACATACAAGGACATGTTGATAATGGCCAACTTTAGTGCACACACAGACTGGTAGGGTCAGGGCGAGGCACTTCTTAGCGATGGAGGCGATGACCTACTTCTCGATGCGCTTTCTTCCACTGAGCTCTTCTAAGTCTGCCGATCCCCTACCCAGACCTCAAATGGCTCGAGCCCTTGCTTCCTTGATTTGGCATTCGTCTCGAACGTTGCAAGATTTTCGACTTGCGACGTCCTCTATGAGCTTGACGGCACTGATCACGCAGCAATTAAGTTGACGTATGCTACCACAATGTCCCACAAGGGACGTTTTTCCTGGGCTTTTAGAACTATGCCAACATGAACCAAGCTCACATGATAAATTTGGCACTCCTTGTTCCCAGGTGTAGCACCACCATGAGGCAGGGCTGTGCCTCAAGCTACAATCTTTTGTGCGCCCTTGTCACGTGACCCCACCAAGGTCACGTGACTTCCGGGAGGGTCACGTGATCCCCCCCCACCCCGAGAACACGGGACCCTCAGTACCGTTCTCTCCTCCTCAAGAGCTGCGCTCTGATTCGGCGTTACAGGGAGTTGCAGACGGCTTTCACTTTTTTGTTTAGTAGGACATACTGAGTTTTTATTTACATAAAATGCTGTTGAAAGTCATTAACATGTCATAAACAAGTTAAACTTCAAAAATTGCCTAACTTTACCAAAAATAATAAAGGAACACAACGTGTTTTCTGCCACTTGTCGGGAATAGCATGTTTGAACACTCGTTATTTTGTCACGTTAAAAAATGCTCCACTAGGACTCTTTTGTGACCCTAGCAATAGGTTTATTACGCTTAATGGTTTGAGAGAAATGAATATCTCTAAAGTAATTTTAAGAAAGAAATGGTAAACTTTTTTTGGAAAAGTTCGGCAATTTTTGAGGTGTGACCCATTTAAGATAATATAATGACCTTGACATTACCGGAAAGAAAAAACTTATCTCCTTTTATTGAATAAAAAATCAATAAACTATGTCTAAAAAACACATTTTGCATAAATTTGAATATTCAAATGTTTCGAAAATGTAACTAAATCAAAACCAATTTTCTAAAAAAAAGATTTGATTGGTTTTCTGTTTTACTTCAAGCCAGTGTTACTGTAGCTGATCAGCAAATACAAACAAAAAATGCATTATTTTGTTTGCATGAGAGCCATTAGCTTTAATCCGGTCATTTCTGTTTTGTTTTGACTGCATCCTCGCATAGGTGCCATTCTGGCCAACATTATGGCGTGGTGTAAGTAGTTAACTAATATTAATACTCGAATCATTTCGTAACCTTAAAAATAAATGAAACTGGTCAAATGCTCAGTGAAAACTATTTTACTCCGCAACAAAGCATGCCGTTTTACAACGCACATCTACCAATGTTTAAGTTTTAATAGGCGCTTTTCAAAACTCCATCAAGCGACATTGGCGGTTGGACACCAAGCCTGCGGTTGGATTCGAATCCTCGATGGACGCCAACGCAGCCTTTGTGTCCCACACATGCTCAAAATGCGTCTCCTCCGTGAGCGTTTGGCATTGGCAGTGCTACGATGACATTTTGTTAGCGGCTATATTTTTCCCCCGAGAGTACGCGCTGTCGGCACTGGCTACTATAAAGAGTGGCATCACCTTTCCTATACATAGTGCACATCCATAGAATCACAGTCTTTACGGGCATGCCTGCTTTCTGATAAGCGTATGCTCACCGAAAATATCTTGTTAATAGGCCTCGTCCTCCAAAGATGCCAATCAGTCCGAGTTTTACTCTAAATTTGTTTACAGATGGGGACAATCGAAGATTCGATGACCATAGTGTTCGACTTCGATAACTTTTCTCTCCGACAAGTCTACAGCCTACAAGGTATAACTGCTAATGTTTGCGTGGTTCTAGTGAGAAATCAATCTACTCTTGTTCGCAGTGATCAACTGCGTTCGTAGTATGATGACCATTTACGAGAGCCACTACCCTGAGACTCTTCACCGGGCACTGCTCATTAACGGTGAGTTTGAAGTTTGGTCAGGAACTATTTTTGTTTCCCCGTAACTCGACAAATAGCGAACGCTGCTGCCCCCTCCAGTCAATCAGAGCGATGAAGTCGAAACACGTGCCAGCCGAAGGAACAGGGGCGAGAGCGTAACTCAGGCAGTTGGAGAGGAGGAGAAGGAGGACCTCCTCTTTTAACTGGACCTTCTTTGCATGTCCCAGACGTCGCTTTTCTTCCCCTAAATATGAATCCGCCATTGAAAACTCATACAAAAGTAGCTGCCCGTCGCTTTGCCAAGACTGCATGACACTATAATGAGATAAAATACATAGTAACGTGTCTCTCTTCGACGCATCGAGAATCTTACTGGGAACGCAGCTTTCGCAGTTTACGAAGTTACGCTGAGAGGGAGTAGACGGGCGAGTCTGACCAGCATATGTTCGATTCGTAGCACCCGGCTTCTTCCCGATATTCTGGAAGCTCATACGGCCCTTCCTGACGCAGAGAACGGTGAACAAGGTGCGCATCCATGGCAGGGGTAAGTGCGCACTTTATGCACGGCTTGCACCGTTGTCACGTCAGCAGAAATTGCGGTCGTATTGCTACTGAGCGCGTAGCCTCTGGAGAATAGAACTCGCAGTAGCAAAGTCGTTTCGTTTTCGTTGAGGACGAGCAAAGATGATCATGCGAGATGACCATGCGAGAGACTTCAGGGGCTGGTGCAATATATAACGTTCTGTGCTTCCTTTCACCATATATCCGAGCACAGTGGATTACACAAAAACAAAAACGGAACACACATCTTAAAAGCGCAAGGTACGGGGACATTCCCTCTACATTGTTGTCTCAGTGGTGATAGAAAAACATCCAGAAACATGCGAACACTAAGGTGTTTCGTTTTCGACTTTTTTAATTGGTTCCATAGGCTCGTGGCGTCGGCAGCGCCCGAACTCGAGGTGAAACTAATAGCTTGCTATGAAAATCAGTCCATTGGCGCAAACTTGCCGCTTTGGGAAGCAGAAAAAGCACGCTGTAAAAGTAGAAAGATCCGGAATAAGAAATTCTTGAATTCTTCTAATAAGGTGAAGGGGGACCTCGGTTCATTTGCCGCCTCAATTCAATCAAGTGACCCAGGATGGAAGTAGATGGCGCAGTCATTGAATCTGATCAAAGCTCACGCTAAGAACAACACGTCGTTTGCGATGTTGCCGCATGTGCTGGGATCATGTGGTACTAATAGCGGTCAGTATTACTCAGTTGCATTCTGTTGCTGGCAGTTTTCCAACCCATTGTGCTTTATCTCATTTCCTCTAACAGTCACCCTTTACGAAAAAGGACTGAGGCCTCCATGAGAACCGTACCACAAGGAGAATAAACACGAAAATTGAGCAGTTCGACGGAGGGACGCCCTGTTACATGGTGCAATCCTCAAAAATGTATAATGCCTTCACGGAGTCTTGCGGTGTCTTGGCTAGTAAGACTGATGTGCCGGCGCCCCTTGACTAAAACTACCTTCAATATAAACCCCGCACACTACTGACCTGTATTTTTTATTTTGTTGTGTGTATATAGTACATCCGGTAGTTACCAGCCCAAATGTGCGTCTGGCGTCTAAGCTATAGATGAGAAATTTAGCCAGGGCAATACAGCCACTAGCCCTTTGTCTTTGATGTGCACCACATAGTGGTGATACACGACCGCACGTCGGCACGACGATCATATGCATCAAAAGGGGCAGGGGTGCGGCTACTGACGAGCTGTCCAAGTAATGATCCGATCATTTTTATTTTCCAGGTTTGAAGACGAACTTTGTGGTTCTGTGTAGAGAAGAAAAAAAAAATGCACCCGTAAGGTTAGGTGGCCGGGCCCTCACTCCGGCGCAGAGCATTCACCCTGAATAGTATTCCCACTTTCATATGTCCTTCATCAGCAGAGGTACCCTATAATTCTTACCAACAGATGCGCCCATCGAGAGCCATCCGTAATTTTTCCTCGTCTTTGACTTTGCTATTGAATGAGAAAAAATGAAAGCCGTTTACAACTCCCTGTAACACCGAATTGGAGCGCAGCTCTTGAGGAGGAGGAGGGAAGGGTACTGAGGGTCACGTGATCTCGGGGCGGGGGGGGGGGGGGGGGTCACGTGACCCCCCAGAAAAATTTTTCCGCTAGGTTTAGCAGGGAATTTTTTCCGCTATATCTAGCGGGGAATTTTTTCCGCTAGATTTAGGGGGAAAATGTTTCCGCTACATTGCGGGAAATCTTTTCCGCTAGATTTAGCGGAGAAATTTTTCCGCTAGATTTAGCGGGGAAATTTTTCCGCTAGATTTAGCGGGAAATTTTTCTGCTAGATCTAGCGGGGAATTTTTCCGCTGAATCTAGCGGGGAAAATTTTCCGCTAGATTTAGCTGGGAAATTTTTCCACTAGATTTAGTGAGGAAATTTACCGCTAGATTTAGCGGGGAATTTTTCCCGCTAGATTTAGCAGGAAAATGTTTCCGCTAAATTTAGCGGGAAATATTTTCCGCTAGATTTAGCGGAGAAATTTTTCCGCTAGATTTAGCGGGGAAATTTTTCCGCTAGATTTAGCGGGGAAATTTTTCCGCTAGATTTAGCGGGAAAATTTTTGCGCTAGATTTAGAGGATAATTTTTTCCGCTAAATCTAGCGGGGAAAATTTCACGCTAGATTTAGCGGAGAAATTTTTCCGCTAGATTTAGCGGGGAAATTTTTCCGCTAGATTTAGCGGGGAATATTTTTCGCTATATTTAGTGGGGGTTTTTCCGCTAGATTTAGCGGGGAAATTTTTCCGCTAGATTTAGCGGAGAAATTTTTCCGCTAGATTTAGCGGGGAAATTTACCCACAATGCACCGCGCGGTTACGCCGACGCCGACGCCGACGCCGCTGAAGCCGGAAACGGGCCCCTAAGAGCTGCGCTCTAATAAGTGAAAGCAGTTTACAACTCCCTGTAACACCGAATTAGAGCACAGCTCTTGAGGAGTAGGAGGGAAGGGTACTGGGGTGTGAAGTGACCGGGGGGGGGTCACGTGACCTTGGGGGACACGTGACCTTGGCGGGTCACGCGACGATGCCGATGATGTCATCAGTGACGTCACTGATGACGTCATTTGTGATGATGACGATGACGATGCGGATGCCGGTGACGTCATCAGTGACGTCACTGATGACGTCATCATTGATGATGACGATGGCGATGCGGATGCCGGTGAGGTCATCAGTGACGTCACTGATGACGTCATCAGTGACGATGACGATGCGGACTCCGATGACGTCATCAGCAATGATGACGATGACGATGCGGATGTCGGTGACGTCATCAGTGACATCACTGACGACGTAATCCGTGATGATGACGATGACGATGCGGATGCCGGTGACGTCATCAGTGACGTAACTGATGACGTCGTCAGTGATGATGACGATGACGATGTGGATGCCGGTGAGGTCATCAGTGACGTCACTGATGATGACGATGACGATGCGGATGCAGGTGACGTCAGCAGTGACGTTGACGTCATCGGGGAGGTCACGTGACCTCGGCGGGGGGGTCACGTGACCCTGGGGGTGGTCACGTTACCTGGGGGGTCACGTGACTTCGGGGGGTCACGTGACTTTGGGTGTCACGTGACCTTGGGGGTCACGTGACCTTGGGGTGACCTTGGAGCCACGTGACCTTGGGATGACCTTGGGGGTCGCGTGACCTTGGGGTGACCTTGGTTACGCCGACGCCGACGGCGACGCCGACGCCGACGCCGCTCAAGCCGGGAACGGGCGCCTAAGAGCTGCGCTCTAAAAAAATCTAGCTTCGGGAACGTTTAAATAGTCAGAGGCCAATCTGTCTGAAATTCCGCGCTATGAATCGATGCTGCAGAGGGGTAGCCTATTCAGTACGGTCTGTGACTGTTAACTTGAAGTCTGTAACGTGCTCTACGCTGCTGTGATTACACAACCGGACGCCTGCCCGATACCTGTTCATGTCGAACCCAACAGGTCCGTGGTTCACCTAGATAATTGGCTGAGTCAGAGCCTCTTATATAAGCTTCGCTATGCCTGTCAAATGGGAGCACACGCTACGTGAAGGGGTTCAGCAAAAAGTGCTCGTGGTGTCTGTATGAAATGACACTAGTGAGGTGACTATGCTGTGAATACCATGCTCCGTTTAGCAGGAAGCGGAGTCAAGTTGGTCAGAGTATTGTATTGTAGGGCGTCAGGCACCAGCAGGAAAATGAAAATACATTATCTCCAGTGTATGCCTAATTTTACTAAGGACCTGTATATACGCTAATAAGAACAGGAACCACCGTGGTAGTACACGAGAAAAAAAATAATTGGCAGACTTCCAAGTGAATTACATTACCAGCTTGTCTCTCGTCATGGTTTAAAGTAGTTACATTGTAGGACTTTGATTGGAATAAATTAGAGGAACGTTTATTGTTTCCTTGAGCAAGCGGTCGCGCCTCGTCGTCGCCGCAGGAGAGTATTCTAGTAGTGCATGTCAAGTCAGATGAGCTTGAGATATTAGAGGACGGACTTAAATCCCCTATGCTCCGATCTTACTTTAACTTCTTCGTTCCGTCTTATTGGTGGAACGGGTCGCTGGATTATAATGAATATGCGTGTTTGCTTTTTTAAAAAAATTGAATTCGACTGATTAAAAGCGCCCCGTAGTATTAATAGCCCGGAAGGTTACGACCCTTACAGATGTCAGCCTGATCACCATCACCATTATCATGTAACGAACAATTACAGTGTTGCAACTATAGCGATAAGCAATACGTCAGAAATAATATAGACGGGTTACAAACATACCTTGACAAACATCACTCATCAGGGCCCTCACTCACCCTCACTCACGCTCATCCTTACAGCCGAGGTGAGGGTCAGTGAGTTTCTGAACACCGAAAATGTGTGAGTGTGAGGGTGATTGACGACCTTGAGGATTGTGAGGTTGTGAGGAGTATGAGTGCATGAGGGCCGTGAGGGCGATGAGCGCGTAAGCGGCGTGAGGGCCGTTGGCTTGAAAGAGGGTGAGCGAAAGGCTGACGGTGAGTGGGACTGTGAGGGTGAGTTGGGGGCTGAGGTGAGTGTGGCCGTGAGGGTGAGTGCGAGTGAGGCCGCCTTAAAATCCAGTACTCTGGTGTAAAATAGAACACGACATAAGAAACTAAAATGGCTTTCAGGCTCAAAGCCACCGCGAAAAATAAAGCCACTCTCCAGGACAGAACAGCAGTTAAAGGTCGAGCATCGGTGCTTTTGTCAAATTGCCCGGTTACTCACCTGCTCGTTTTTGCGGAGTTTTCCATATGTCTTCGGAGATGTGTTCCCCCGGTAACTGCAGAAGCGCCGAGCCACCGCTGTATCAGTCAGGACCGGATAAGCGAGAACCGAACGTTCGTGTGAGCTTGCAGGGTTTAATCGTGCGCAAACCATTTTGTGCCATGGCAGCCACGGAATGGCGCTTCCAAAAAACCTGTGTTCTCACTCTGTCTCGCTGAACCATTTCTAGATGGTTCAGAGAGA